TAAAAAAAAAAAGAACTATGAACTACCGGTAGTTCATTTTTTGGAACTGTGAACTTAGTTCAAAATTTTGAATTATGAACTATGAACTGAACTAGTTCATTTTAAAATGTGTGAACTGAACTTTGAACTAGTTCACGTAGAAAGAGAACTTTCCCAACACTGCTGATACCAATGGCTTTTATATATCATACGTTTTCTTACCCTTTGAACAAAGTCCTCTGCTTCAGTTAAACACAAACACAATCACTTCACATCCTCAAACACATGACAAATCCCCTGCCCCCCACCCCCCTCCTGATGCAAAAACTACAGCTACATGTATAAAATATGTATGAAGAAACCAATATTGGCCAATATCACTATTAATGCGGATATACCGTGCATCCCTATAAATTAACATCAAGAGTTGAACATCCGACGAATCACAAATATTACTGGACAGCTAGAATTTGCATTAATGAAACTGTAAAACGGATATTCCTCCATATATTATTTCTAAAGCAGTCTGTTGCATCAGATACAACGTTTGATAACAATCGTTGTTGATTAATGAGATAAAAAGTGTTATTTAATGTTGTTCAGCTCCAATTAAGAGACAAAATCAACAATTTGTGTTAACCTCTGTTGTATATAGATCGAGGGGTGCAAACACACTGCAAATATATAAAAATGTGCAACAAATGCAAAAATTACTGGAAAAACATAAATTAACTAAAACTAAAACTAAAACATTAAACACTAAAAAACACACAAAGACAGAAAAAAAGCTTTAAAACAAGAAATGCTGCAAGTAGCAACATTTCCCCTTTAGGATTAATAATGTATTGATGAATTGAATTGAAATCCAACTGCAAGTGACAAAAAGATGCAATGGAAAAGCTCCAGACCACTAGGGGGAGACAACTATCAACTCATATGGAACCAGAACACAGACCTTAGTACGGAGTAATGTCTATGGACAATGATAGATGGAATGCCCGCATTAAGGAAATTTGGAGGGAAGAAAAATAAAACCCTCAGGACCTGATGTCCAAACAATCCAAACAAAGAGTGCAAAACTGCAAAAAAAAATAAATAAATAAAAATAATTTAAAATATAATATGTGGCCTTGTTGCAATTGACCCTAAAGATTGTTTATACAACTGCTAAATTAGTAAACCAGTTCGGTTGTGGTCCATTTCAGTCAGTGCGTACTGGTAGTTTGAGAGCAGTGTTAAAAGAAAGATGAAGTTCTAAGCCATGAAGATGGAGATAGATGATAATGATGAGAACTGTTTATGTTGCACTCTAGAAGTATATCAGGGTACTAAGAACAAGAGGGCAAAGTTAAACATTGGTAAAGTTGTCTTTGTATCCTTTAACTTTCAACTCCTCTCAACGGCTGCTTCACCCATTGTACAAAGTACGAAGTAAGGTAGGCTCCTAATGATTTAACAAAACAGAAATATACTTCCTGCAGTCATAAAATACACTGATGGAGAAAGAAACTTCCCTCTGACAAATTTGGGAAGATGTTCACTGTTAAAACATGACACAATTTGTAATTTAGGTGTTTTCTAATTTGTTTAATTTGTTTAAAGATTGTTTATCTCCAGCTGCATTGATCTGTGCCAGCCTGCACAGACATCTTCTCCCCACTACATTCTCTGTTAATCTGCTTGGCCTGCTTTGTGGCCACAATGACTGCAGAAATTTGGATGTGAATTTGTGCCTGAGTTTCAAACATATTAAATAAAGATTAAAATACTGTGGTCAAATGTCACTTTCAGGTTTAAAAACTACTTTGCAGTTATTCATTTTCATATCCTTTAGCTTTAAATTAAGTTCGTAGAACACAAACTGCATATTCATAAAGGCACACATGCAAAAAACTTATTTAAAACTGCTAATATTACACACTTATATTACATATATTTTTTTTTGTTGTATCCGCATCTGCCAATATCCTTTGATTTTATCACTCTTTAGTCAAAACCCCATCCCCCACTGTCTCTTAGCACTGGGTTTGTTGCTTAAAACAAGCAGGGTTCTAACATTTATTGGCCCATCTTCAGTAGACAAGTCAGGCAACGTTGTAACCTCAGGCTATCTGTTTCCTGTCAGCCCCACCCAGCAAACAGGAGCTCCTTTTCTTATAAATGGCTCTTATTTTTTGGACCAGTTAAAGTTTTAGGGGTTTAAAAGTGCCTAGGATCTTGTCTCTACAGTGAGCCTTGCCAGTCATTTCATGAAACATTTGATAAATCTATTTTACAACTGTCAAAGTGTGGCTCTAATAACCCAATTAACCAAGACTGGGGGACTCCAGCCAATGACTTGACTCAAGTCTGGCTCAAGTTGTCAGATTTTTTGACTTCTGATTTGCCTGATTAAAATGCACAAAAAACTTGATTTGCCCTTCCTGACCTGCGAATTGACTTGACTTGAGTCATGGGACTTGCCAAGTCACTGCAATCGTGTTTGGTTCTATTATCATTATTAACAAATACCGTAAATCCTCTAATATAGGCCAGGGCCTTTATTTCACTCAGGTGCATCTTGGTCCAGGCCATTATTGGAAGAAAGTCCTCTATTTCTATTTGATCTAAACAGGCGACCAGTGGAATGAATAAAAACAGATTGTGTCTCTTTGAACTGATAAAATACTAGGTTAATTTACTGAAAAAGTAGTTACCATAATGGTTTACAGAACATTATTCAGACATCTTCCAGCAGCTGCTATTTTTCTGCACGGCAATACAAAAAAAAAAGACACAGAAATGATTCTTGGCCAAACAAAGTTTTAAAATAACTTAATGGAAACTGTTCTGCCATCACAGCCGGTCATAAAAACCAAACAATCCGGCCTCCTGTCTGCAGCGCTGTCTGCGCTAAGGATGGGAATTCCCAAGCTAATGGATTGGATTCGTTAGCAAACACTGCCCCCCTGTGGTACTTGCATGTTACTATTAGAGGTTGCTGAGGACTGCACAGGAACATCGTTGGTTCCAATTATAGCCCCGGCCTGTATTAGCGTCCGGCCATTATTTACCCCCGCCGACAGCAAAACCGGCCATTATTAGAGACCCGGCTGCTAACGGAATACAGGCCAATATAAGAGGATTTACGGTAAATGATTGGATAATTCTTGCTTTATTTTGTGTAAATGCCTCTGACCTGCAGGATAACAGCAGTCAGAAGCTCGTGAGGCGTCCCTTCGGCTGCTCAGACGCGCTGCAGGAACTTTGGCTGCATCTTGATGAGCGGCAACTATTGACTGAAACTTCTGTATGTAAACCTGCTGCTTCTGCTGTGTGCGGTCTGAAAGTAGCATCACCCCCATCTCTGTTTATTAATACAACTAATAACACAATCGTACACATTTAACTAGAGTTTTATATCTACTTCTTTATTAGCATGCTTTGGCAGAGAATTGCTAAAATCAGAGACAACATTTTAACTCTTTCTTAGACTGAATACTAAGATCTCTAGGAGAGAATTTTAAATTTGAAACCTTTTCTGAATTTGCTGGTCTTTATATTCTGTGATTGCACCATAGTTCATTTGCAATGCTTTTGTAGTTTTTTTATATATTAGCAGTAAACTTTGACCTCTCCGCCATAGTAGTAATTCCCTACAATAACAGCAAAGATCAACATTTAACCTGTGAACTCCGAAGTGCAAACATTAAAGTAGGGAAATGCAATCACTTTGGAACAACTAGATATCTCTTCGAATTCTAGGTTAGAATGTTATATTTTCATATTTCTATCTGTACCCTAATGTGCTCTACTAAAGAGATTCAAAGCTCCAAAATAATCTCTAATCCTGCTGATCCTGTAGAGAAAAAAATTGTTAAAAGATAAAAAAATTGGCAAATATGAGGGAAATAATGTCTGACAAATTGCTACTTTCTAAAATTATATCCCCACCTTGGGGGATATAATTTTATAATTTTTTTTACCCTTGGTTATCAATTCATTCAGACCGTGGGAAATAATAGTATTATGAATCAAACGTCCATTAAACCCACCTGTGTCGTGCTGCTTCCCAGCTAGCCTTGTCTGGTGTGAAGGGAGGATCTCTAACTTAACGAGTTCAGTTGTGCTTGCTAATAGCTGCGTTGCCTCCAACACAGTGCAGTGTTCTGTGGACGTCCCATCTATGGAGAGGAGGTGATCTCCAGGATGCAGTGCTCCACATCTAATTCATCCAGAAGGAAAAGAAAAGACAGAACAATACTACGACATTAGGAAACCAGACAGTAGTGATGTTTGGAACCAAATTTCCATCTATGGAGCAGATATAGATGATAGCAGAATGTAGACATCCAAAACCAACATTGTAAGGGATTTACCCCCCTCAACAACTGGTGGTACAAACAGGCATTTTCTGTCTTTCAGCCTTTCCCTTCAGCCTCATAAGGGGAATCAACAGTGACTGAGCGGTAGGGGAGATGTTTTGGGTTTTGTTTGGATTTTGAGTATTGTTTAGCTTCAATTTCTTTAAGTTAGTTGTGAATGTTTTTTGTTTTTTTTCCCCCATGAGGTTTAATTTAGTTGATTATCTCTATAGTTCTGCTGCTATAGGCTTAGACTGCTGGAGGACATAGGGACCATTTTTTCATCATTCTGCTTCATTCTATCTCTATTCTCCCACTCTGCAGAATCTGTTAGTTCAATCTCTAACGTTCTGCTCTCTCTGCTTTTTCTCATAGTAGCTTCATCTGGTCTGTTCCTGTTTGGCTGTGACTCCATCCTGGAGAGAAATATCAGCTGTGCTGCTGCCATCAACACCTTTGCTTACAGATGTTGGAGATCTGCCTGTTGTTCAATTTAGTCCTGTTTCTGGTACTGTGACTGGCTGGATGTGCTCTCTTCATCTTCTGACGTGGGAGCTGGCTCAGATCTCATCTGCCTGGCTGTGTGTTTCCTTGAGCTGGTTGGCGGTTGCCTTTTGAATCTTTGCTTCTTTTTCTATGTCTGCTTCTGTCTCCTTGAACCCCAGTCGGTCTCAGCAGATGGTCGCTCACTCTGAGCCTGGTTCTGCTGGAGGTTTCTCCCTGTTAAAGGGGAGTTTTTCCTCTCCACTGTCGCTACAAGCATGCTTAGTGTGAGGGATTGCTGAAGAGTCAATGAGTCGATGTAATCAACTGGTTTTCCTTTGATAGAAAACTTTTAATCAATTTGACTGGACGATCTGGTTGAACTGTAAAGTTGCTTGAGCTGATGTGTTGCGAATTGGTGCTTTAGAAATAAACTGAATTGAAAAACTGAATTGATTAATTCCCAAACATAAAGTGTAAATGTCAAAGTTTCCATCCCTTTTATTAGAACTGGTACAGGCTGATGCTTTAGAAAGCTGGGTTGTTAAAATGTGGGTGTGTCTTTTTTTTTAAGAGAGTGGAACCCTTACTCCTCTGCTTTGTTTCCGCCTCTGTCGGCAAACCTTACAAACTTGTTACGTCGAGTAAGGATATTTTACTGCCTGTTTACAAGCTCTTTATGTATATTTTAGAAGCAGACTGAGGCTCTGCTTGGGGCGATATCCATTTTCTACCTTCTGTTTTAATTGTAGTGCTGGATTCATGTGCATCGACTTTATGTGTGTAAGGATTTCTTAAACAGGCTGGATGTGAAAGACACCAGATCAAACACAATATATCTTTAATCCCGCAGTGTAAGAATGGCTTCCTGGAGTAGGCGGGATATTGATTTCTCTGTTTGGCTCTATTTAAAAGACATTTTCCACAATCTTTGACACTGGCACTGTTTCACACCATCTACTACTGTCGCAACATTTCTATCACACAGAGGAAACGCATTTATGATCCTTAGCTTTTTAAACATTTACTATATTGACCCCTAAGGAAATAATACATGTCGCCGTCGCTCTTAACGTTTTTCTCTCAGCATGTTTTTGAATATTTGATCATTTGAGTGCCATAAACCTAAAAGTTATTTACTTGAATTTCATCTGCAAAATCAACACAAACTGGTTCTCAAAAATTATAATTAATTAATTAAGATATTTTCAAAAGTGATTCAGTTGGTGGTATTTCATTAAAACCTTTAGTGGGTTTTGTCTTCAGGGATCTTGTCGCCCTTTCTGGTCCAGAACTGGACTGGTTTAAATCCTCTGGAAAGACCGAGATCGTTTAGTGTCATTAGGTAACTTTACACTAGAGACCAGAGAAACCCCATGTGGTGTTCCCCAAGGCTCCATCTTAGGGCCACTCCTTTTCAGTATCTCCTTGCTTCCCCGGACTCAGATCTTAATAAACAATATCAGTCACCATAGCAATGCAGACAACATCCAGCTGTATGTTACCATGTCACCATGTGACTATGAACCCATTCCAGCTCTGGGTAAATGCAAAGAAGAAATGATGATGAATCAAACTAAACGAAAGTAACAGTTTTTGGACAAACGGAAGAGCTTCTTAAAGTTAGCACTCAGCTTCAGCTACTCCAGCTCAAAAGCAGCAATCAGGCTCTAAATCTGGGTGTATTTATGGAGTCAGACCTGAATCTCCAGAGACTCATAAAGACAGGAACGATGTCGGCCTTCTATCAGCTGAAGAACGTCTCCAGGATTAAAGGACAAATTTCTCAGTAATTTCTCATGCAAAAGCATCATTTCATGGGCATTACGCTGCTGTGCGTTATGCAAAAGTTAGGTTGTCGTTGGACAGAAGTTCTGGACTTGTTCTGAATACTCTATGTATACACCCAACATTGAAAAAAATTCATAGGACGGTCGGCGTATTTCAGGATATTAGGAGATTTCTGGACGTAGAGCATATGTTGGCTTAAAGGAAAATTCCGGGTTTTAACACTTTTAGCCCATTTTCTGTAGTGTCCAGGATGTAGAGTGGATGTAGATTTAACCAATCAGAGGCCTCCTATCTGCAGCACTGTCTGCGGTCACCTACAATTACGGAGAGGTGCAGCAGAGTGTCTGTGGAAGGGGCGGGGGGCATATCTGTGTGTCACTGCGACACACAGTCAGACTTGCTGGTTTCTGAGTATGAATCAGTCTTAAAGGAAAATTCCGGTTTTTAAC